AAAGTGGGTCTCAGTTTGTGATCTATTGTTCGGAATCCACTTGAGTGCTTCAGAAGATCTTTCTTGCTGTTCCCTTTCTTACCCTTTTCTTAGTTTGCATTAATTTTCCATCTTAACAGGTAGTCCTCGTCTTTCAACAGTTTGTTTAGTGACTGCTCAAAGTTACAACAGCACTGAAATATGTGACTTAGCAACCATTTTTCACATTTACGATTGTTGTGGCATCCCTGTGATCGCATGCTCAAAATTCAGGTGCTTGACATCTGACTCATATTTATAACCGTTGCGGTGTCCCTGGGTCATGTGATCGCCTTTTGCGACCTTCTGACAAGTAAAGTCAATGGGGAAGACAGATTCACTTAACAGCCGTGTTGCTAATGTAACCACCACAGTGATTCATTTGCCACAACTGTGGTAAGAAAGGTCGTAAAATGGGGCAAAAATTACTTAACAAATATTTCACTTAACAACGGAAATGTTGGGCTCAATTGTGGTCATGTGTCAAAGACTACCTGTATTTTTAAACTTCAACAAATAATATTATTTAAAAAAGGTGTATGGTATCTACATATATTTATAGCTGAAATCTCATGTGGAATCTTGTGAGATTTAGGCATTTTCACGCACAATCACGTGTATTCGGTAATCTTCCAGGATTTCTAAACTCAAAAGTTTTGGAAATAGGGAGAGAGGAAAAATGGCCATAGCACTTGGAGGGCTATTTTCTGTTTCCTTTCTTGGTTCTGGAATAGCGTTCTTCCAGTGAAAATCAGAAATAACAAGTTCAGATGTATGCCAGAGAAACCTCGTAGGTAGAGTTGGGATTAAAATGCATGCATTCTGTTTCCGTTCAGATCCAATTAAGATACGAGGTAGAATTTCCTGTATAGTCGGAGTTCAGGGATATGTGGGGAAGCAAATAAGGATCTCATAGAAAAAGTATTTCTCGTTAAATAGGATGTTATCAGTCTGCCTGTAAGCCAATACTGAGCTGCTTGATTCAGTCATTCAACTGGAACGCCAACCTAAGCAGGGTTTCAACTAACCTCATACAGGCCTAGTGGAAGGGGGATTCTGTGTACTTTACAAAGATTTACGGGGCGGTTTTTAGAGTAACTGTTGCATGGTTGCAAAGGTAGTAAAGAATTTACTTCTGACTTGTAAACGAGCTTGCTTTTTCTAACAAACTAGCCTCTTGAATCCTTTGGCACCCTTATTCTCAGGGTGGTGGAAACTGCTAATCCTCAGCCAAAGGTTAAAGCTTTCTCATTTAGCCCAGATAATGTAATTAGCTAGCACCGTCTAATAAATCAAATTTTCACCCTTTCAAAGTTTCAGCCTTTCCATAAATGCCCTGACATTTTTTTTCCAGTGTTTCATGCAGTTTACCAAATAATATATGCTTTTGAGGCCTTATTTATTTATTTTTTAAAAAAATGTCTCTTGTTTCATCATGGTCAGCAGAATAAAATGATAGTTATTTGTGAGTATGAGGACTGTTTTTCTCCTTCACCTGCTGTTGCTTTTTTGTTTGTTTGTTTTTTAATACAGGGATAGTTACTGTGCAGGATATCAGTGCTTTGATTTTTTCAAAGTTTAGAGGGAGATAATGATTTTCGGTTGATTCAAGGCAAACAGAACTGCAATCTTATTAATACTATTTTTCTTTTAAATTCTGAGAAACCATTCCTCTGCAGGTATAAGCTGCAGATAAGAAATTCAGATTCTACAGACCACAATTTGAAAAGAAAGGTGGATTTGACAATGGGCTAAGATCTCTGAGACTAAAGAACTGGCAATTAAGTTCAGATGGCTAAAGAGCGAGCTCTACTCTCATCGTGGCAAGGAAGAAAAAATAGGCCACCCTTTCCTGTTCTGTGCATGATCTAATCCAGTTGTTCTCAACCCTTTTAATGCCGCGAACCCCAGCTGGTCATAAGTCGAGGACTACTCAACCGGTCGTAAGTCGAGGATTACTCAACTGGTGCAGCACCGTTTGCAGAATGGGACTTTTGGCGGGCTCAGCAAGGCAGAGACAGCCTGGACAATTCCTATTGGCTTTTGAAAGCCAATAGAATTAGACTCTATTCAAGAGAGTCTATTCTATTGGCTTTCAAAAGCCAATAGAATAAAAGGGAATAGCACAGCTAAGGAAAAGGAGGGAAAAAATGGCGGACTGCGTTGTTTGGCGACCTCTGTGAAATGGTCGTTCGACCCCAAATGGGGTCCCGACCCACAGGTTGAGAACCATTGGTATAGGTTAACAATAGTGTTGAAAAATTTACTTGCAACCAGTTCTTAACGATTGTTGCGACGTTGCCGCAGTCACGTTGGTTGTCCTTTGTGACCTTCCCAGACAGCTTCCAAACAAGCAGAGTCAGTGAAGGAAGCAGGAAGGGAAGTTTGCAAGTCACGGTGGCGCAGCAGTTAGAGTGCAGTACTGCAGGCCACTTTAGCTGACTGTGTTCAACAGGTCAGCGGTTCAAATCTCACCGGCTCAAGGTTGACTCAGCCTTCCGTCCTTCTGGGGTAGGTAAAATGAGGACCCAGATTGTTGGGGGCAATGTAAATATATATATATACATTGCTTACTGGTGTACACCGCTTAGAGAGTGCTTGCACTTAAAGCGGTATCTAAGTCTCATAAATAAATAAATAAATAAATGTCTTGTTTTAATGATTGCACTCCTTAAGTGATGAATTTTCCAGTTCTAATTGTGGACCTAAGTCAAGGACTACCTGTATTTATTTGCCTGTTTCTTCATTTTATCTCAATGGTTTCCTTAAAATTTATTTATTTATTTAAATCCTGCCTTTATTATTTTTACAAATAACTCAAGGTGTTGAACATATGTAATACGACTTCTTCTTCCTATATTCTCCACAATAACAACCTTATGAGGTTTGCTGGGCTGAGAGAGAGAGAGAGAGAGAGTGACTAGCCCAGGGTCACCCAGCTGGCTTTCTTGCCTAAGGCAGACTAGAATTCACAGTCTCCCACTTTCTAGCCTGGTGCCTTAACCATTCTTCCAACCTCCATAATTTTAATCATTTTTTTTCCCTACCAGTTTAGACTTTAATTTCTCCAGAGAAGCGGCACAATTCAAACGAATTACAGCACGCTAATTGTTTCCATTGTAGGAAATGCCTTTTATTTAATCTTAGGAAACGTGCGCACATTGTTATTTTTTTTATATCGAAAACTTAAGAAATAGATGCACGTTCTTGCAAATAAGCAGCAAGAATTATTTGCTGTGTATTTTCTCTGCTCCTCCCCCCACACACACAAACATACACACATCCTTCCACCAAACGAGGAGGAAGAAAAGGAAGGGAAGCTCTGCTGGATGAACGGAAATTCACTTGCATGAAGTTGGTTGGTTTCAAAGTCTCCTCCTGCTTGCTGTTTCTTTTGAAGCTCATTCTAAGGAGTTGCCCTTATTCTTGACAGCTACAATGGGGATTTTTGAGAGACATCTTAAAGACAATAAGATATTTCATCCGATCCCCGAAAGATTGTCTTCAGTTGGCAAATATGCACAGATGAAGGAGTAGAGGGGGAAAGCTGTTAAAAAAAATGATAGACCGATGGGATGCAAAAAATAAAGTCTGGCAAATTTGATTAGAACACCATTTTATGCCCTCAAAAAAAAAAAAAAAAAAAAAAACCAAACCCACAGCAACCACTTATTACAACAATAATCGACAATATAAAGTCTTAACATTGCTAAACAAGCATCTGTTTTAGAGAAAAACTGTATTGTATTGTAATAAAGTCAAACTGCCCGTATTGTAATAAAGTCAAATTTTATTATTTCTGATTCAGCTACTATGCACCAGCATCCAATTTCAAGCCCTTCTGCTGAGGAATAATAGCATTCAGGCTTGCAGTAACTTCCAATAGAAATAGAAATGTTCTCCTACAACAATTTTGAAGTCCAATCTGTAGCCAGTTAGTATATTTATTATTCCTCTTTGCTCTGTTCTCTCCCTTTTTTTTTTTTTTTTAAGACAAATGGAACACGCCAGAGCAGCATTTGGAAACACTTCCCATTTTTCAGGGCGGTCTTTAGGGAATTGCCGCTAGAACAGAAAAGAAGTGAACAATCTTTGAATTATCTATTCTAGGGGTAGGCAACCTTAGCTTTTTTATGACTCGTGGACTTCAACTCCCAGAATTCCTGAGCCAGCATGGCTCAGCTTGGAAACCTTTCCCTTCCCCTCAGCATGGCTGGCTCAGGAATTCTGGGAGTTGAAGTCCACGAGCCATAAAAGAGCCAAGGTTGCCTATCCCTGACTTATTCCATCTGTCATGAATGAATTGGCTTTAAGATTCAGTAACTAACTGGATAATCTGATGTATGTGGACTCAAAAGTAATGAGTTCAGTGAAATTTACTCCCAAGGTGACAGCTTGACAACTAGAACCGTGACTTATTTCACAAGGCCATAATGAGAATTGGGACAGAAAAGGGGTCAAAGGGTGGAGTTTTTAATGACAAATACAGGTAGTTCTCCAGTTACAACTGCAATCGACCCCAAAATTTCTGTTGCTGAGCAAGACAGTTGTTAAGTGAGTTTTGCCCCATTTTACGGCTTTCCTCAGCACAGTTAAGTGATTCACTGCAGTTGTTAAAGTTAGTAACACGGTCGTTAAGTGAATCTGGCTTCCCCCATTGACTTTGCTGGTTGGAAGGTCGTAAAAGGCGATCACATGACCCCAGAACACTAGCAAGTTGGTTGCCAAGCATCTGAATTTTGGTCACGTGACACGGGGGTGCCACAAGCGTGAAAAATGATCCTAAGTCACTTTTGTTTTTCCAGTGTAACTTTGAACAGTCACTAAATGAATGGTTGTAAGTCGAGGACTACCTGTACTACAAAGATAAATGTATACTGAAGTGACCGTCCCTGAGCAGGGCCGAGAATCTGGAGAAACGGCAGAAGTGACTCTCTTTTTGTTAATGGCGCTTCCCTTATCATCTCTTGTCGCCCTAATAGAAGAGCGAGTGGTTCCCATAGAAGTTTGCCGTTCCAAGCTGTCCAAATATTTGCAGGGAGTCGTTTTCCGCTGTGACAAGTGCACCTTCACCTGTTCCAGCGACGAAAGTCTACAGCAACACATAGAGAAGCACAATGAGCTGAGACCTTACAAATGCCAACTCTGCTACTACGAGACCAAGCACACGGACGAGCTCGATGGTCACCTTCGCGATGAGCATAAGGTGAGAGTGATGGTAGTTCCTGCTCGGTGAGGCCCTGGCTTTTAGAGAGAGGGGGGGGGGGAAACCAGGTCTTGCCTTTCTTGAGATGTCCTTTGGCCAGCATCTTCTATAGGAAATAGTTTATTTTCCATAAGTATCCAATGTATTTAACACAGGGTTTTTTTTCCCCCATAATTAAGGGAGTATTTGCCACATGGTGCAGGCCCCCCGGGCTCTGGGCCTTTAAAATGACATTAGAGGTAAATGCATAGAGGAATATCTATCAATAATTGTTAGGCAAAAGGAATATACATGTTGCATTGCAGAGACCTCATTCCAAGTCCTTCACCTGGGTTTTCTGAATTTATACTCTAGTACAGGGGTAGGCAACCTTGGCTCTTTTATGACTCGTGGACTTCAACTCCCAGAATTCCTGAACCAGCATGGCTCAGCTTGGAAACCTCTCCATTTCTCCTCAGCATGGCTGGCTAAGGAATTCTGTGAGTTGAAGTCCACGAGTCATAAAAGAGCCAAGGTTGCCTACCCCTGTTCTAGTAGCATGCTAATAGAGCTGATTCAATACCATGTGGAATTCTTTCTCTTCTGCTCTTTTGCCCCCCCCCATTCCACCTCCACCCCCCCCCCTGAAAATATTTCACTTCTGCTAAAAAAAAATGAGTGAATCTACTCTCCGTTGGAAGTGGATCTTTACTCAGAATGTAAACTTGCTGTTAGTTTGTGGCAGGTGCATGGCAGAAAATAGATTGACATAAATCAATCACTTTTTTCTGATTATCAGTGGCTTAACAGCAGCAAGTTCAGAAAAAGTTCCCCTCCCCTTCTAAATCGGTGGCTGTGATCAAAATGAGCTTGGATGTAAAACCAGGAATGGATTTTTCCCTGACTAGACCACGTGTTTGTTTCTAGTATAAAGGAACAAATTTCAGGGCTGAATGTGTTGAGTGTCAGCTTTATTCTTTACATTTAACAATGCAGCCTACCGGCATCACCGCTTTGCATCTGGTTCTGGGTGATGAGCTTCCAGGAGCTCTAGCTAAAAAAGGTTCTTTTTAGATGGTAGAATTGGCAAAAGATGTACAGCCTAAAATCTTACACCCTCTCTAATTCATCAGAAGCTCCTTGCTCTGATAGAAGACAGGCTGTTGGGATTGGATGTAGCATCCCACTGCAAGCAGCAGATAGTTATAAAGGTCTCTGCACATATTTGTTTAATTGTGTGCTCATTGAGATGCAAAGTGAAACACAATATTCCAGATGGTGACATGATACATGACATTAGGAAGGTGTTCTGTATTCACCACCCTTGCCCAAGCTGTCCTGCCAATGTTTTGTTAGCAGGAATCTCATCCCAAAGAGTCAATACTTTTGGCTGGCGAAATGTATAAATTGAGTTGTGTTATGAAGCATGCAGTGAAAGGCCTCCTTGTAATTTAATTGTACAGAGGACCATATTTATTCCTGTCAGATAATAATGGTGTAGGACTACATCAGATACATTCTGCTCAATTAAATAATATGTGGAACGAGGAGGATGGTACATGTTCTCTCAAGCTGGTCAAAACTGTGGTGGACGGTTTAATTTTTCCCACCTGTTTCTGCCAGAATCACCCAGTGAGTTGATTGAAGGTGCCATCTTTAGTTCTCGTTCCTTTTGGTTATATCTCAAAGGGAGGTGGCAGGCCCCAAGTTTTCACCATTCTTCCACATGTTGGCTGCACTGGGTGGTGAGCCGGCAACATTATAAGAGGTGTAGGTTTTGGTTGTACTGACATGAAAAAAGAAGGGACCCCTTTGTAAATCCAGTCATTATGCACAGCCTTTAATTAATCAATCAATCAATCTAGGGAGCTCGAATTCTGTGACTGTGCTGGGATTTAGCAGATCAGAACGGATCTGCCCACTTCGTGCTCCACCCTATAGAAAGTTATCAGTGGCCTTTGCTTGTGTTAATACAATTTATAGAGCTGCCCAACTTGAATATAGCAACTCTGGATGGCGTACAGTAATGCCTCCAGATCAAAACAAGATGAACAATTTTAATTAACTTCTAAGAGATCAATAGGCAACCAGAAACTTGCATTCATATCTTGCTCCAGACGGGAAATCCAATTTTCCCAGTCCAAAGAGAAAGCGCTTTTTTTATTGCCTTTCTGAAAGCCAACAGGGCTACCCCGGTGGTTTCTTGGGAGCGGATTGCTCCAGAGGCCATTGTTTCTCTGTCTTTTCTTTCATCGGCACTTTTCATCTTTCTTCAAACAAGGGCAAATGTATGCCCTGCCAGAAGAAACCATCTATCTCTGTTACTTAACACTTTTCAGATCTTCAACTCTTTGCTTTGTTCCCACGGAGAAGATTCTCTGTTGTGGAATAGTGAGAAGAGTATTTGGTCTACGGAATTTCAAACAATGCCTGGTGTATCACAGCCTTTTTCAACCTGTTGTTTCCACACTAGGCTATGCTATACGGTGTTTGGACTCTCAGTTCCTTATAGGAGTGTCCCGCTCCCTGGAAAAAGCAAGCGGTTGCTTTCAAGAGTGGCGCTCAGTGCAGTTTTTGCAAATACACTGTGTTGTTTTCTTCCCCAAAGGTGAGTCGCAATTTTGAGCTGGTTGGACGGGTTAACTTAGATCAGTTGGAGCAAATGAAAGGAAAAGAGGAGAGCTCCAGCAGTGATGAGGAAGAAAAGGATGAGGAGATGAGCCCCAAGACAGAAGAGAGAGGTCAGTGTTGTGGTTGTCTTGCTTAATTCTCCACCCAGCAGTTCCAGTGGGAAACATTTGAAAGCTCTCAGCCATGCCAAGATGCAAACTGACTTGCCTTTCCTCCAAACAGGAGCCTGTTCAAAGGACAGTCTGTTCAGGCAACCTTTAGAATCTGTCCATCATTCTAAGAATGTATCATCATGGGTTGTTTTTCGTTTTGTTTTGCAACCGTCCAGGTATAATAGATCCCCAGTTCCTTATAAATAGATCTCAGATTTGAGGAGTATAATTAAACATCAACATCCTTGAAACTTAACTCATGGATCTGATCCTCCATAGTGTTAAATTTTCAGCAAAAAGGAACTGCCAGTGGGCATAAGCAACACTGTCCCAAAGTGTTCTGTTTGTTAAACAATTATTAAATCTGTACACATGACTGGAAGGAAAATGTATTTGTGTAACACCATAAGGATTACATTGAAACCACATGAACCTTTGGGGGGGGGATGACAAGGTGCCGTGACTGAGAAGGCCGTTGTCTTGAGGACTTGCTGTTTGTCCATTATGTCCTCTTTTCACCTGAAATGTGCCCATTTCCTGCACTGCTGATCTTTGATTGTGAATTTGATCCTCCCAATGGCAGGCAGGCAGTGAGAAACCACAGTCTAATTCACTGGGATTTCACATATGCTGATTCATAGGGGAATCATAATTAATAATAACAATATCACCCTTATCATCCAATCTTAGCTAATCTGCCTTAATAGCCATTGCTAGATCAGTTGTCCATAAATATAAGTCTCAATCTTTCTTTCTTTCTTTCTTTCTTTCTTTCTTTCTTTCTTTCTTTCTTTCTTTCTTTCTTTCTTTCTTTCTTTCTTTCTTTCTTTCTTTCTTTCTTATGCCCCCCTTCTCATATGCAGGACTCTGGGCAGCTAATAAAAACATAATAAAAAGCAATTGAGATTAAAAACAGCAGAAATAACATAAAATAATAAGGTAAATGAGAACACTGATTCAGCACAACAATGACCCAACAAATGGTTCACTCACTCTATCAGGGCTTGACAAAATCAGATTCTCCATGCTTTGCGAAGGCCAACAGGTTGAGACAAGTTTAATCTCTGGAGGAATGTTGTTTCTAGGAATGGGCACCTTGATAGAAAAGGCTTTGCTCCTAAAGTAGATGGTACTTTATCATGGGTGAGACATGGGGTATGCCTCTTCTGGATCTCACAAGATGGGCAGACACCACTAGAGAGACATAATCTGGTAGGTAGCCCTGCCCGGTCCCAGGCCCTGAAGAATTTTAGAGCTAACTTTGAATTCCACCCAAAAGCATCCTGATAGCAATACTGCTCTTAGAGCAGAGGTATAACATGTACCAATTGACCAGCACCCTTAACTGGCTCTGCTGCCGCCATATTTTGCACCAGGCAAAGCTTCTGAATACTCTTCAAGGCCAGCCTGTTGTAGAGCGCTTTGCAGTAATCCAAGTAGGAGATGACTAAGGCATGGGCGACTATGAAAAAGACCTTCATGGTCCAGAACAGATACCTGGTGCATAACACAAAGTTGCGCAAAAGACCACCTGGCCATGGCTGCCACCTCCTCTTCAAATAGAAGCTGCAAATCCAGGAGAGCACAGGATCTAATTGAGGTAATGCAACCTCATCCAGAACAAAAAATGGAGATCGCCGAAACCAGAATGCCCTAAGACACAAAGCCCCCCTTCATCTTACTAGCTTTGAGCTGAAACCTGTGGATATTTTATAAAGATTTTCCAGTAGTGGGCCCTTCAGAAACCTGTGGAGAACCCTAGGAGAAATAAATTGTTAAATGATGGAGTTGTATCTACTCATGAGTTATCTTTCAACAGCAGAGGTCTGTAAAACTATAGACAGCCTTCACCTTTCCCTCCAAGAATTTGCTTGCTTTGAGGACCCAAACTTGTGAAGCAGATAGATTGACATTTGGGGAATTAAAAAAAAATAGTTTAACCTCAAAAGAACAAGTCTTCTTTTAAAACAAAACAAAACCCTGTTTTGAGGATAGTTTAAATTGGCCTGGCTTGGATTTCAGAGAATTGTAGTTCAGTATCCTCTGAAACAAAAAGACATCTATGTGTTTGGAAAAGTCTTGACAATATTTCTTCCAGCTGTCCCCACAAAAAACAAAACTGCAGAGAAAGAAGGGCATACAAGATTTATGTGTGAGATCACACAGAAAAGCAAAAGAGAGATTGTCAATGGGTTAGGTTGGCTCATGAGTGTTTGTAGTATAATACAAAGTGGAAATGAGGCAAGCAAAGATCAGCAGTAAATGAAGCAAGATCCAACTGTTTTTCATTATGTACTTTGAGAGGACTCTGGGAAGTGAAAGACAATTGGCATTCTGTTGTTCTTTTTACTCAGGATAATCCCCACTACAGAATTAATGCTTGGAGCAGATGGTACTGTCTCATTTTCAGTGAAAAGAATCAGGCAAGATAGTCCAAGTAATTATTTTTAATGGCCTGTGTGGCAATCGTCTTAATTTTGTGAGAAAACATTTTCATCTTTTGTTTGGCAGACAGCTCTCTGGTTCACACACTAGTCCCGCATTTCAGCCAGGAGGAATGTCCACTGTGATGTCGGGGTCTTGGGAATGCTCCATTATGTTCTGCAGAACAACATCCAGCCAAAGCTTAAGCCGATAATTAGTGCTTCCCCCCGTTAGAATCAGTGAGAAATATCTGGCTGGCCTAGTCTTGAAGCGTTGATTGGCAGAGCATGCTCAGATTAATAAATACTTTCATTGAGTGCTACTCCACAAGGAATGCCTTCCCTATAGATGGTGATCATATGGCTGCATACCTGTGATCTATCATTGACCCGAGGCATAAACCACATCCAGTTAAGTGGAATCAAATTGCACTCTGTATTCAGAGCAACTTTTACTTCCTTTCCAATGCATGCTCACGGAATACTAGAACGAGTAAATTTAGCCCCAATGAACTCAAAAAAAAAAAATCCATATTTTTGTTAAATGACTCTGCACTTGTTAGGTTCATTCACAAGAAACGTTAAGGCAGTAGTGCTGGCTTAAATTTGATTTGCTGTCAATCAGCATCTGTTTTTCACAAGACAAAGATGGCACCTGTTAGGCATTTTCTGCATTTTTTTTATTCTGTGCCTTGTAGTATATAAAACAATTCATACAAGTGGAAAGATTTCTCTCTTTTAGAGATAGATAGTATCTATATAAAATAACAATCCTAGAAGTTACGAGGTCCCCATAATTCCCCCCCAACCTCTGGAATTGTTATTTTATATAATGACTGTGTAACTAGCTAACAATAGTAAAGTAGTTGAATATGGCAACTACTAACAATAGTATTTGTTATATATAATAATAGTATAATCATGTAACAATAGTTAAAGTAGTTAACTATTAAAGTAGGAGTGAAATCCTGCCTTTGGAACCTAGAATTACTTTCAAGGCTATTGGATGGTGATGATGACGACGACGACTGTGATATACATTGAGTCAAGTCTGACTCTTGGCAATTCTATGGGCCATGTCGCTCCACATCTTCCAGTCTTGTGCTATTTCTTTGAATATTTCTGTGCTCTGTCTAGTGTCAGCTTTCATAGTGAAGTTAATGTACAATTTAGAACAACAACACAGGTACAGTGGGTAACGTACAGTGATGTGTATGCAAATTATAGCTTTGGCTCATTTTCCTCAGTGAACATTTTTTTTAACTTATTTGTTTAATTGGGTTCTCTGTCTCTACTTTTAGGACATGTGGAGAACAGATCACATTTTAGATCATGTTTACGCAGAAATATTGAAAGTTTAAAAGGGTTCACAAATTATTAAGCGCCACTGTAGTTATAAAGAGTGGAAGACAAGACTGGCAAAGCTGAAATGTTCTATTCATGAAACGAAATTTCACCATTTCTCAAATACCATTAAGCAAAATCTGGCCTTTCTATAATATGCCTCAAAGAGAACTGCAGGGTGTTCACATTCTTTGCTAAACGAAAACGTCCATCTCTTAAAAGACACTGGATTTCCATCTCATGAGCCCTTTCTAAGAAAAATTTGTGATGTGTTTTTCTATTGGACTTCAAAACTACTTTCCCTTTCTGCCTTCTGCCTCCTTGAGAACACCTTGGCTTACACTTAAGATTAACGCATGTCTATGTGCTTCTTTTCCTCCAAGGGGATGTGAGGTTTTCAGAAAACAGTCCTCCTGAAAAACGCTTCCCCTGTGAATTTTGTGGCCGAACGTTTGCTGAAGGCTCTGAATGGGAACGACATGTACTGAGACATGGCATGTAAGTGGATCCAGAAGCTACCACTTCTTCCACCAGCAAAGGGGAGAATAGAGCTTCTCCCTGGTATAGTGTATATTATGAAGCAAATACTACAACAAAGCATATTTATTATCAGCCAGTTAAAGAGAAATTAATGCTGACTGGGGGAAACTGTATTTTTCCTGTAATGAAAACAAAGAACTTGTTGGATTAAAAAGATACTAAACAATAGTTTTAAACTGCATTCTGTTTACTAATGCTAAATAATAATAACGTGTTTCTACTAATATATAATTGCCTCTAATATATAATCACAGTGATATTGTTGAAAATTAGAAAAATTAAAGCCACTATCAGCATAACTCGGCAAGAGATCCTGTGTGTTTTTCCTCCTACAAAATGTCATTATTAACATATCAAATATTTGAATGGGATTAAAATACACATCAGCTTTGATACAAAAGTCATAATTTCTCCCTACAAACTCAACTATATTTTCATCTCCCTCTGAATATCCTCCATCAGGATGATAATATTTTGAAATGTTTTCATCCATTAAACTAGGTAGTAATTCCCAACTTGGATTATACTGTAGAGATTTGACTGTATTCTATATTTTGGGGTGTTTATCATTACTTGGACATATGCATTATATTCTTGAATGGATCTGCTTCTACTGTGTAGTTGCTGACATGCAGACACACATGCACCCCCCCAAAAAACATGCAACCCCCTAACTATTTTATGTTTAGACTTAAACTAGGGGTCCCCAACCCCTGGTCCATGGACCGGCACTGGTCCACAGCATGCCAGCAACCGGTCCGCACAAACAAGCAAAGCTCCATCCTTGGGATGCAGGCGGTATTCAAAACCACACCCCCTCTGTTCCATGGAAAAACCTTTCTCCATGGCACCGGTCCCTGGTGTCTAAAAGGTTAGGGACCTCTAACTTAAACACTTAGCCCACGAACTCCTTTTATATAAATAATTAAAATAAATGCTGCCTTTGAGTCAGATCCCAGTAACTGCCTAGACAAGTCCCTGCAGTTTTCTTGGCAAGATTTTTCAGAAGTGGTTTGCCATTTTCTCCTGGCCTAAGACTGAGAGAAAGTGACTTGCCCAAAGTCACCCAGCTGGCATTATGCGTAAAATGAGACTAGGTCTCATAATCTCCCATGTTCCAGCCTTGGTGTTTTAACCCACTACACCAAACTGGTTCTCTTAAGCTATAAGAAATTGGCCAGTTACTCTTAAGTCCCAGAGAAAGTCTGATTAAAAGGAAAAAGCCTTATTACAAGGAAAAAGAAATTAAATCACAAAGTCTTAGGAATCAAATATCTGTATATTTTAGTTCCCGACACTCCCACAAATTAATGAGTGCATAAAGGCGGGTCCTTCTTGGTGCCTTTGTTCCTCTACCTCTCTCCTGATTTAAGGGGGAGTTTGCTAATCATTTGGGAGAAACAACATCCAGCTTATTTTGCCCTGTACAGATAGTCCTTGAGTTATGACAGTTCACTTTAGCGATGATTCAAAGTTACGTCACCACCCCCAAAAGTACTTGCAACCCAGTCCCAAAGTTACAAATGTTGCAGGACCACAACAGTCGTTCACTCTTCTGAATGACTGCAGAGGCGCATGTCTCCTTGCCCCTCCCCAGGGTCTTAACAGGCACTGGCCCTTATATACTAGCCCACCGACACCTCCCCATCCTGTCACCAATCGCTCACTTACTTTTCAAAGATCTGCAGAGCTCAGGGCCACGTGGCAGAAAAGCAGCCATCTTCTCAGACTCTGGTGAAGCTGTTCTCATTAGGTCTTGTGTTCTTACACAACCATCCATCTCCTTTGCAAAAGGCTTTGCACAGACAGAGGAGGCCTGCAGGAGTGCGAGATCTCGCCCCCGAAGGGTTCCATCCCCTTTGCAAAAGGTTTTTGGTGCAGAGGAGAGAGACCTGCCAGAGCACGAGATCACCCCCTGCAGGCCTCCCTCCTCTGGGCCAAAAACTTTTGCAAGGGGACAGAAGCCTTGGGGGGGGGAGCCTGATCCCGCACCCCTCTAGGCCTCCATCGTCTCCTTTTTCTAAAGGAGACAGAAGAACACAAGATCTAAAGAAAACAACTTCACCTGCATTTGAGAAGACCAGCCACTTTTCTGCCACGTAGCCGATCTTCGAAAGGTAAGTGCGGAAAAAGTGGAAGCAGCTATGGGGAACCTAAAGGATGGGAAGGGGAGTATGAGATATCTCAGTGGATTGTGGGGAGACCTTGGATGGCCAAAGGCAGGAGGTGTTTTCCTGCACTAGGCCGCCCATGGTTGTCCCTACCCCTGAGGTACCTCATGTGCACTTATCGACCTATCCATTCGATTAACGAATGCCTTGGGGAGAAGAGGGATTCCTTTAAAGTGAGTCAGTTAATGTTATGGGCAGCCTCTAATATGGTCATAGCCCGAGGATTACCTGTACTGTAGCCTCAGAGAATCCTGTAATGAGACCATCTGACTCGCTAAGTTAGTCCTAAGAGCAGCGTGGATTTACTCTTCCAAATTTTTAAGTCACGTTGGGTCTTCCTAGCAAGGAGAGCCGATAAGTCCCTATGATGTCCAAAATGTTATTTTCCCCTTCCTGTCTCCCATTTCCAGGGCAGTGAATGAAACCAACCTGGTCATCAGTGACGAAAGCCAGGCCAAAGAGAATGCAGAAGAAACGGTTAAGGTACCATTGGCAGAAGAAGTGGAAAGCAGCCCGAAGAGACTGGTGGACTTTTCCCACAAGAACGAAGCTGCCATCTGTATCATTGCTGCTGCTACTGCTGCTGCTGATAATAAATCACTCCCAGAGATGGCAGAGGTCAAAAGTGAATGAGCACCTGGTGTGATTTCCGACAACCTACTTGAACAGTGATGAATGGGGAGGGGGCGGGCAGGGGGACAAGGAAGAATCAAAGCTGCTTTTAGGACTGAATGATCTATTTTCAAAGCACTGGTACCTGTGTGTGCGCGTGTGGTGGGTGGGTGTGCGCGTGTGTGCGTGTGTGTACATAGATTAAATTTATTTAATTGAGGACGGTTGGATACGTGGCTCCATGACACCCGCACGACTCTTCTGGATCTTGACAATGGGAAGCTACGGTCATAACTTTGGACTTGTGAGAAATCAAATTCCCAAGACACATGTCGCATTTTTGCCTTTGTGCTCCACCGCGGAGACTTCGGGATCCTTCCGACGACAGAGGCGTCCCAAGGATGGAAGAATGCAGGGGACGACAATGTTCCGTGTCCAACTTTGGGGCACTTTTTTTTTCTAATTTTAATATACATATTACGCTTTTCCAGAGTGACAAAAAAAAAAACAAGGAAAAAAAAAGAAAGTTAAAAACTGCTTTTGCTTAAAACAGTCACCTGTTTCCTAGTACCTCAGAATTAACCAAGGGAAATTAAAAGAAAAACACACAAAACAAATCTCTGCATTTGTGAGTACTACCTGTTGTTATTGTGGTTAAATATATATATAGAAAGACAGACTGCTGGGCAAGATGATGAATGGAAGAAAAAAAACCACAAAGTTTTAAAAGAAAAAAAACAAAAACAAAATTGTGCTCAAAAATCCCTGCGGGGGGTTTATTTCTTAAAATACTGTGATTTTTTTAATTATTTTAGTAAAAAAACAAAACAAAAAAAGAGAGAATTCCTTAGATACCTGTCTGTGACTTGTCATCTTTTATTCCAGGTAAGCTGTTTGTTAAGCGTTCAGCTATGATTTTAGGGCGTTGGGTTGGTTGGTTGGGGTTTTCTTTTCTTTTTTAAGACTCATGTGATTGACTCTGTGCCGTTCTTGTTTGCCCCATGTCTACGTCGGCTCAGCCTGAGGGATTACAATACAGCACAATTAATTTTTTTCCATGTAAAGTAATGTTATTTCCCCCCATTTCTCCTTTGCTCACCCAATGAGACAGGGCTGGGACAGAGAAGTGGTTCCTGTGAATAGATCATTATTATTATTATTTAGTTATAAACATGTGAAGATATCAAAGAAGTAACTTTTTTAAAGAAACTCAAAAACAAAAAAACCCTTTAACTAAAGAACCAAACTTACAGCACAGCTATGCAGGTTGTGGGCCAGTCCAAGAGGTCCTCAGATTCATTCTGTTGCTCGTCCAGTTGAACATCTTTCACTGATTTATTATTTTGGTTACTTAAGAAAGGTTGCCTTTTTTTTAATGTGGTGTGTCTTGTTTTGGTACAAGGAGGGTTGGAAGGAGGGAGTTGATAACCACATAGTTCTAAAGTTCAGGTAATCCAGTTTTGCAATATTAGGAGCCTAGAGATCTACATTTTGTGGACCTCGAGGGAGAGAAATCATCACATCACCTCGCATTCTTCACATGAGGGGGAACAGCAGAGCCTAAATAGGAACAGAAGTTGTGTTTGAGTTCCATTTTTCATGTAAAAATGTTGGGATATCTTGCATGAACGTGAAGCAGAAGGTCCAGGCCCAGAAAGAATGGTCTGATAGTCAACAAACGGGGTTACTTTCCAAAAGTAGAAAGTACTTGAGTGAAATCTAGTTTTAGAAATGCATGTGTCTCTTTGGGTTGCTTTTCTTTTTCTTTTTTTTTCTTTTTCCTTTTTTTTTTTTTTAAACTTTGAGGGAAGGGGAAGGGATGGGAGACAGGAAGCTGCTGAGAAGCTGATATCCACACAAAAGTTCTCCTCAAATGGATGGCGTAAAAGAGGTGAAAAGAAAAAAAAATACCATTGCATTTGTGGAGGAAGTGCTACTTGAAAAAAGCATGATGTTTTGAATTTTGCAGATTCTTAAGTTTGTGAGGGTGGGCTTTCAGTTTTGTTTAGTTTTTTTCCCCTTTTTTAATTATTTGGTGGGGAGGGAGAGTCATGCGGCAAACATATTGGAAGGAGAAGTATAAATAAACATTTTGTGTCTGAATGTTTTCTTTTTAATTGGCCTCATATCAAATGTATTTAAACAGTTCCATACCTGGATTGGATGTTTGTAATGGTTACCAAAAATGAAAAAGAAAAAAAAAAGAAATGATTGTGACATGCTTTTATCACTACTTTATTTTTCGAATAACGTGTAAATATTGTAATCCATTGGATTTTTTTTGTTTTTTTTTTTTTTGTTTTGTTTTGTTTTTTTTAATTTTATTTTTTTTTTGCTAACCTGTTAATAAATATATGGGACCATTATCCTTTTTAACAAGTCTAGAATGTCATATTTTTTCTTGTGTTTTTTCCCCCTCCCAAATGTATCCCTTGATATATTGTGGACACACATTTTAGATGCATTATTATGATTCTGTTGGCTGTAATGATGACCTAGGATTGAGAATAACATCCTTTTTTTTATTTGTTTAATTTATACAGAGGACTTTTTTCAGAGTTTGAGAGAAGGAAATAAATAGCAAAATGATAACCCACTGGCTTCAGAACTCAGTATTTCCTAATTAAAATTAACTACTGCTCAGTGTTTGGTGGGTGAGGCGTGGATGTTCTGAAATGTTGCACTGATAACTTTTTTAAGGCAAAAGAAAACGAATAAAAAATTTTCAAACAGAAGTGTGCGTATGGTTCTCTCAAGTTCAGAAATGCTCTTGCCTTTTTTTTTTTTTGTCTTGTTTTAACCCTGAAATACTGGCCCTTTAATATGATGTCATTGTTATCATCAGTGAAAGGCAAGTACTTTTTAATCATTGTCAGACCCAGCTAATTTTTCCCAATGAAAAGTTTGGTGAGATTACTTTTTAACATTTTTTAAATTTGTCAATCTCTCTCACTCATTCTCTCTCTCTCTCTCTCTCTCTCTCTCTCTCTCTCTCTCTCTCTCTCTCTCTCTCTCTCTCTCTCTCTCTCTCTCTCTCTCTCTCTCTCTCTCGCGAAAATTAAGTTCTTCATTTGGAGCTAATCTTACCGGGTTTCACACATTTTCCTCAAGAGACATCATCAGATCTTCCATTGAACTCAGCAGGTTTCAAACGCGTTTAAAGGTTTCCCCTGTCCTGTCACAACGGACTCAGGGAGATGATGCTCATTTCAGATTCTCAACTGAGGGAGCCTGTGTTGTCTGAGAGACATATCTGTCATCATGTGGCCAGCATACAGAACGCAGTAACCTTTCCCGCCAAAATGGTATCTACTCGCATTTGCATGTTTTCAAACTTATAGGTTGGCAGGGGCTGGGGCAAATAATGGGAGCTCACCCTATTGCATGGCACCCGGGTGTAAACTTGGCCTGTCACTTTTCCAGCTGACAAGCTCAATGTCTTAACTGCTGAACCACCATGCCTCTTGAAACTCATTTAACTAGCAATTAATTGATTTAATTAGTGGTAATAGCTACCTACTACTTCCCAGAGGTCAGTCATCCAGGTTAGTGAAAACTAGTTTTCCTAATAAGAGAAAATGACACAGTATAAACCTGGCAAATACCCATAGATGTAGGTTTTGGTAGTCTTCTCAAACAAAAATGGCTTAGCTGTTCACACTTCACTTCTAATGTCACCTAATATCACTTGGGAGGGGAGCAGGGAAGGATTGTCACAGGAGGCTGTTTGTTTGATGGTTATGTTATCTGCATATTCTAAGAATGTCTTCGAAATTTAGGAAAGTGAGACAGGATGCTGTAATTCCAATCCCCATACAGGTAATCCTCAATTTACATTTCATTTAGTGACTGTTCAAAGTTACAACAGCCATTGAAAAATTGATTTATAATCAGTTTTGGCACAATCACTGCAGCATCCCAGTGATCATGTGCTTGGTGTTTGAATTCAGATGCTTGGCAACTGATTCATATTTATGATGATTGCAGTGTCCTGGGGGCAGAAGATCTGCAATATTCTGACAAGCAAAGGGGAAGCCAGATTCATTTAATAACCATGTTAATAACTGCAGTGAATCACTTAACTGTGGCAAGAAAGGTCGTAAAAATGGGGCAAAACGTACTTAACAAATTTCTCTACAATTCTTCCCATACCACTTGGGTGCTATCTTGAAGAGCTTTCAATGAATCATATTGCTTTACTTACCTTATTTTGGTGATAATTATGAATTTGAAGAGTTCAGGGAATATTAGGAAAAATTACTGGGGGCAAAAAAAGCAGTGATAAGAACAGAAAAAGAGCAAGAGTAAATACTTTATCCCAGTGCAATTAAGAACCATCAAGATAGGGAACCTCTTTAGACATTGTTGGGCAACAACTCCCAATATCCCTAACTATTGGTCATGTGAATTGGGGATGTAGCAACTCTTAAGCTGTGTGTATTTCAATTCCCAGATCGGCCATTGGTCTATAGCAGAGGTAGGGAACCTTGGCTCTTTTATGACTTGTGCACTTCAATACCCAGAATTCCTAAACCAGCCATGCTGACTCAGGAATTCTGGGAGTTGAAGTCCACAAGTCATAAAAGCCAAGGTTCCCTACCCCCCTGGTCTATAGGATTCTATAGTATTTTTTAAAATAATCATTAATTTTTGTTAATTTGAAAGTGTTTATAGGTAACGCATGAAACTATACGTAAGCAATGTTGTCATACCAATTAAAGGACTTTGAAGTGCATTTATTTCAATATGAAAAGAAGTTGCACATAACTCTTAAAATGAAAACGGAAAGTCATTGGACTGAATAGTGAAAAAAATCTCAAAGAGTGCTGGTGTGCCCTTGTGTGTTCTCCCATAATCTTAACTATGATTAGTATAAGAATGGATTACAGACGGTTCTTAGGTTAGTAAACTCTTACAATTAACCTATAATTTATCTCTTGCATGTTGTCAAAAAAAAAAACCCATTTTACTGTAATCATAAATTTGAGATGTATAGTGTACTGAAAAGTTGTCAAATATATTGTGAAAGACCATAGAGTGAACTTTATGGCTAGCTGAAGATTTGAACAAAAGTCTTCCACTGTTAGCCAGAAAGTCTGGCCATGATAACATAATGGCCTGAAAAATCTCAATCTTGCCATAACTTATACAAACTTATACAAAAGGTCATTTATCCTATGTCACCTGCTACGGGAAAGTAATATTAATTTAGCTTAGTTTTCTCTAATCTGATATCTTCCATTAACCTACACAGATTTAGAAGAAAGCTGAGAAGGCTGGCAGTTGTAAAATACTGGCAAGGTACCAATACCTGCAGTGCAAAAAATATTTTGTACATATGCAAAAGTATTTTTATAACTATAATAAATAAAAATGCAATGTCAGGATGAAACTAACCTTAGATATCAGCATCCTTGGCTATCTTGTAAATCTCCAGAGCTTCTACAGGTAATTCTCCATTTATAAACCTAGTCATAAATTACAATTACATAAATTGTGACAGTCATTAAGTGGGTCATCATGTGACTGCACAGATTTTACAACTTTGTTTTCATTAAGTGAACCCATTATCACCAATGGGCATTTTTTTTGCCAAAAACCAGAAGTAAATACCAGAAACTGGCCAAAAAACCCTCCAAAAATCACAGTCACATAACTGCAGGATACTGCAAATGGCCAGAAAAGCAAGCAGGTTGCCATGCACCCAAAATGCAATTGCATCACCACGAGGTGGGAATGCAGCCATCAGAACATCTAAAATGGTTCATAGGTAGCACTGGGGAAGACCATTGTACCTTCAACCAGACATTAAGTTCCTCCCAGTTGCTGTTCCACCTGTGTTCCCTGAGCCAGTGTATTTCAAACTTACAACCTTAAAGACATTTATATTTCAACTCCCAGAATTCCCGAGTCCACATACCTTCAAATTGCCAAGTTTGGAAAAAACTCTGCTCTAAGCCATGGAGCAATAAAAAATAAACCAAATGAGAATCGGTGAGGTAGACTGGAAGAGGATAAAGCATTGGGGCAATGCAAAGGGAATTAGTTGCTTTCCATTTCCTGAGGGAATCACACCACAAATATCTCACCCACTGTCAACCAAATTTAAGGGCAGCACAATACATATCTTTTTGGAATGAAGAAACTGCATCCAACCAGGCCAGATTGACCTCAGAAGCTCCAGGAAAAGATATTCTTGGACCTCTCAATTCCTTTGCCATTGGTTGGTTTTTAACTATTAGTTTAGAATGCTGTGGGGATTCCCCCCCCCCCCCAAGGAAAAGGATGGCGTTAGAAGACATTATGTCTTTTCCATCTAATGGCCCTGTTGCTAATGGCTGAAGCAAAAGTTGGAGGGTTAGGTGACAAATCTTCCAAGGATGGAGTCCTCTTCAGCTTTAAGAGGAAATTCCAGTAAAATCTATGATTCCTGGCACACTCACCCTTAATCCTTCAGTCATTGTGTTTCTGCCCCAACAGTTTTACAACTTTGCAATTCAGAGACATTTTCTCTTGGAACACAATGGTTCTAGTTTAGGGATGTCCAACCCTGGCAACTTTTAAGACTTGTATACTTCAACTCCCAGAATTCCCCAGCCATGCTGCTGGGGAATTCTGGGAGTTAAAGTCCACAAGTCTTAAAATTGCTAAGGTTGAACACCCCAGCTCTAGTTAGTCTGGTCAGAGAATTCAGAAGTACTTGACAACTTGACCTAGGCTAGGCCAAGCCAGGCCAAGAAAAGCACATCCTCCTTGAAGTGGCATTTTCTGCAATGCTGAGCCTTTCTTTATGATCATATGGACACACAGATCAGTCTTCTTCTACTGGAAGTGCCAGGAAACCAAGTATATGCAGAGTGCCAGAATCAGCCTTTGAAAGAGTTGGGTGAAGCTTCCAAAGGATATCACTTGAATGCTTAGAGAATGGGCTTCACTTACCCTAACATACACTATTACTTAACAGTTAAGTAGTTACTACTAGTATAGTTACTTGCCCAAATCCTTTTAGTGACCAGTTAATACAACCTGGGACAAATTAGCAGTCTGTAGTGCAAAAATGTGCTAATTAAGTCCCCCCCCCCATACTTCCTGCTCATTTATTTAACTCAGCGATCTTCAAACGTGGCCCTTTTATGACTTGTGGACTTCAGCTCCCAGAATTCCTCAGCCAGCATGCCTGGCTGAGGAATTCTGGGAGTTGAAGTCCACAAGTCATAAAAGGGCCAAGTTTGAAGATCCCTGATTTAACTAGATTACTTCAAAGGCTATGACATACATCCATACCCGCCCATCGCTCTCTTCCTTTGAAAGCGAGTGTTGTCAGAAAACACAGGAATGGAGTAAGAAATAGCATGCCAAATAAAGGTATGAGGTGGGGTTTTTTTTTAAAAAAAAAAAAGAAGCTAAATCTGGTTTATACCAACACCTTTCCTTAAACCACTTCATACAAGCAGTCCATGGCTTATGGCCGGTCATTTAACCACCATTTGGAGTTACAACAGACTTCAAAAAAAGCTAATTATAACCTGTCCTCAAAATTACTACTGCCACCCCCCTCAAGGCCACATGATTGCATTTCAAGTGCTTGGCAACTGGCTCACATTTACAACCTGTTGTAATGATCCATGGTCACACAACCATGATTTGTGACTTTTTTGCCATTTTCTGACAGAAAATGGGGTGGGGATCACCCATTGGATATGTTGGATTCATTAACGACCGTAGTGACTCG